CTCATTCAGATGTGGCGTTTGGAACTATTTTGGTTTTCATGTGAAGAATGACCCTGATCGAATCGAACCGAACCGTGAATTTTGTGTATCGTTGCACCCCTAATAATAACCTATATAAGCTATCCCAGTCCAATTAATGTGCAGACAGTATAATGAAGGTACAGACAGGAAACAATAGATCAGTCAACCAGTACTAAGAAATAGTGCGTATATTGTGAGTATTTTTTGCAACCGTGCCGAAGTAATTTTTCTGCTGTAAGACTTACATCTGCAGTAACTGAACTCTCCAGCATAATTACACTGCTACTGACAGTCAACCTCACTAACAGATTTCAGGGCACTCTGCACTGTGGTGTGATACAAATTATCTTAGGTCAGACAATGGATCAGCTCTGTTCAAGCAGATTTTTAATTACTCAGTTAGAACCTCCGCCTCCTATACAGCCAAACGCTAACACCCAGCATATCTACCTCTCCCTTTCTTTGTTTCCAGCATTGATCTTCACATTTGTGCTTACTTGCATCCACCAAATGCCTAATTGTTTTAAAGGCTCATCCTTTAGACACCAATGACCGCTTAAGCTATGAAGAAATAACTTTAAGGCGGGAGCAAGGTGGCCTGTTGTAACACTGCAGTAGTTCCAGCAGAATTCCAGCAGGCTCACCACCGCCTTCTTCAATACAGTAATAAATAATACTTTTTGTACTAGTGTAGTACTTCTATAGTATATATGTACTATATTAGTATTTGTTTTTTTGCTTCATTCTTTACTGACCTATTCAACTGTCTCTCCACTCAGTTGTAGTCTGAGGTTGATGAGCTCCACATTCTTGAGCTGTAGCTAACAACAGGTAGCAACAGAGTCCCTTCACAACAGGAAGGTTTTGGGTTCAAATTCACTGCCTGACTCTGGCCTTTTGAGTTTTCTCCATGTTCCTGGGTGGGTTTTGCCGAGTTCTCAGGTACTCAGTACTCACAAAGGAATGCATTCTAAATTATCCATAGGTGTGAGCGTGAGTGAATGGTTGTCTGTCTCTTTGTGTTAGCCCTGTGAAATATCCAGGGTATCGTGGTACCTGGTCTGTGACCCAGGGTTTTGCGTTTGGGAAGTTTAAGTTTTTCTAGTTTGTTATCTTTATTTAGTTATTATTTTGTATTTGTTGTTATTCAGTATTTCATTATTAAGTGTTCCCTGTCCTCTTGTTTCTGGATTCCTGTTAGTTATTTGTCTGTTCCCCCAGTCTTGTTTCTTGTTCTGTTTGCTTCCTCTGTTTTCTCTTGGTCCCCTGCTCTTGCTCTGTGTCCCTGGTCTCTCACCTTCGTATTGTGTCTTCTAGTCTTGTGTCTGTCTCCTCCCTCCATTCCCCTTATTTTGTCGGTCTGAATCTTATTATAGATGCAGATTAGGCACCCTGTGACTAACTTTATTGTATTGGTAATTCAGCAATAAAGCCGCATTCATGTCCAGTTTTGCCTTTGTACGCTGCATCTTTGGGTCCATTCCTAACTGCCTTACACAGGGGTACCCTGCCTCTTCTCCAATGACAGCTGGCTAGGCCCCACCCCCCTGCAATTCTAAATTGGATAAGCAGTTAGAAAATGGATGGATGCAGCACCATACTTACATTTACTGAAGTTGTCAAAATGAATGTGAAATTTTAACTTCTGGAATTTTAGTGCTGTGAAAATTAGAAAGAAAGTAATTTTACTCAAGTGTGAGCACCTGGACTATAATTTTCTATTTGGTTGTTAATGTGGGACAAATTTTTGTGGAGCCATTCATTAGCCAAAGATGTCTATTAAATAGCTGTCACCAACAGCACATCATTTTGCAAAATTTTTAGTTCATTAAGGTTTGGACTAACACCAAATGAAAAATGTGTGGGTGCTCTGTGGTGGTCTACCACTCATCTCTTTGCTTATG